TTTTAAATGTAATTATTTTTTTGTAAATGTAAGTACTTTTTTGTTATATTTGTTTAATTTTATAGATATAAATACTTTTTGGTTCAAAAAATATTTAGGGGCTTAATCGTTCAAAATATGAATGTTCATTGGGTTTTTTTTTCCGGATTTTTTTCACTATTTTACCACTTTAACTAGTTGTACAAATGATAAGAATGTATCCAACATGTTTTATAAAAGTTCAAGAAGTTATTTAACATGTTTTGGATTGTTCAAGGACTTATTTGTTCCAAAAATTGTCCAATGACTTATTTAACATTTTTTGGAATGTTCAAGGACTTATTTAACATATTTTGGAATGTCCAAGGACTTATTTGTTCCAAAAAATTGTCCAATGATTTATTTAACATATTTTGGAATGTTCAAGGACTTATTTAACATGTTTTGGAATGTTCAAGGACTTATTTGTTCCAAAAAAAAGTTCAAGGACTTAATCATTCCAAACAAGAAAGTTCATTGGTTTTTATTGTACTTTTTCCTATTTAAAATTAAAAAGATAATATACTTTAATTAAAAAAATACAGATGAAGTGTTTTATCTTGGTTTTTCTTGTGTTTATTGGTTAGTTATATGAAGAGTATTAAAATTTTAGAAAGAAAAATAAGTGTTACATCTTGTAGTACTTATGTTGTATTTATTATGTTTATCTACAGTTAGTTATATGAATTTAAAGATGAAGTTTTAATAAGTTAACTTATGTTTAATCAACTTGTAATTTTGAATTTTAAATAACATGCGTTAATAATTGATGTTTGATGCATAAAAAGTAGCTTTTAAGAGTTTAGCCTAAATGTTTTATAATACACTAGAAGTGTACTCGCGCAATGCAGTGAGACACATCTCGATTTTAATGTTCTATTTTATTATTTGTCTCTGTCGATGTTATAATACGATTTTATGTGTTTTTAAGAAAACAATAATGATTTTATTTTTAAATAAAATATAAATTTGAAAATACCATAAAAATTTAAAAAAATATATATTAATGTTAATATCAAATCAACTACTTAAAAGTTTTATTTTTTATGTAATTTTTTTAATTTATTTTTTATTATAATTTAATTTAAGTTTAATAACGAAATAATTTATTTTTGGTTTAATAATATAACATTTTATAAAAATAATAATTAAGTATTCTATTAGAACTCAATGATTATCCTAATTATATTTTAGATTTTTTATATTTAAAATGAGATGTTTATCATGTATTTGATTATGTTTATCTGCAGTTAGTTACACGAATTCAGATATGGAGCTTTAATAAGTTGTACTTACGYACAWTCTACTTGTAATCTTGAGTTTTAAGTAATATGCATTAATAAACAGTACTTTACGCATAAAAAATGGTTTTGAAGAGTTTTTGTCAAATGCTTTATAATATAATATAGATTATAGATTCTGCATCATTCTACCATGATGGTTGTCACCACTGTCATTTTCACCCCTACCACCACCGTCGTCATCCAACATCATCGTTGCCACCATGACAACCAGTTCCACCCCGCTACCATTATTATATTCAATAAATCATACAGACAAATTCCAATTCTTTTAACATATTTCATTCAGTTTATGTCAACCAAACACATGATCAACCTAATTAAACTTTGTTTTAATTTCTTCATATTTCAATTCCATTTTTAAACTAGACCCACTTAGTCCTTTCAAAAGGATGATCTCGAATACTAGTAAATGACATGAAATTTAAAAATATTTTAAACATAAAAATGATATCTGATTGGTTTGAACTTGTAATCCAAAGTCAAAGGTAATGTAATATTTAAGTGATATAAAAATATAATTTGATTTATTTCCATAAAAATGAAGTGAATGTGTTAAAAAGGCCATGTATCGTTGACCTTTCTTGACTCGATCACAAGTCCTGAAAGAGGAGTGGCGATGAGTGGCAGCATGGCATCAATTTCGCCGTCAACACCATGGCCTCAACGATCCCACAGCAACATCAACCACCACCATTCCACCCTAAACCTCAAATCAACCACCAATTTCATCGTTCCATCAGGAAGAAAGAATTCAAAACCATTTCAATCCTTAATCGTCAACTCTGCCGCCGAATCCCTAAATCGAACCACCGGCAAAGCCACACCCACACCACCACCATTGGTAGTCGTCGGATCAGCCAATGCCGACATCTACGTGGAGATCGATAGACTTCCCAAAGAGGGGGAAACCATATCTGCAAAGACCGGACAAACCCTAGCTGGCGGCAAAGGGGCTAACCAGGCCGTATGTGGCGGAATGCTATCTTACCCAACGTACTTCGTGGGTCAGGTTGGGAAAGATGCTCATGGAAAGTTGATAATGGAGGCGCTCGAGGGTGGTGGGGTTCTTATCGATCAACTGAACACAGTTGCTGAAGTGCCCACCGGGCATGCTGTGGTTATGCTTCAATCTGATGGGCAGAATTCCATTATAATCGTTGGAGGTGCTAATATGTGTGGTTGGCCTCAGAATCTGGCCAATGATGATTTGGAGATTGTGAAGAATGCTGGGATTGTTTTGCTTCAGAGGGAGATTCCTGATTCTATCAACATTCAAGTTGCAAAGGTGATTAAACAACTTTTGCTTCAAAATTCAAGAAAACGAGTAGAATTGTCATCTAAATTGATTTGATGTTTGTATATGAAGATATGTTAAATTCTGGTGTGTAAAAGATGATATTGAATTTAAACCAAGAACTGCAGGGGAAATCTGAACTAAACATTTCTTGCATAAAACACAGATCATGAAATTGTTTCTGTGATTCTTAGGGGTTGTTTGGTTGGTTTTCCACTTAGTCCTTTATGGATAAAGCTGTATATGTGGATTAATTTGTCTGTATAGATTGAGAATATTTTTGTTTGGGAGGTTTTTTCATAGATGGAATGAGCATGTTTTTTAATTGAAGGGCAGATTTAGAAAGAAAAAAAACTTGGCTCTCTGCATAAAACTCCCACTAGAAGCTTACTAGATAAGCCACTTTGAATATCATTAAGCCACTACCAAATAGTCACGTATAGCTGAATGAGTAAGTTGTGAGTCCATTAAACTCGTTAAGCTGCTAACAGACATGGCCTTGAGGGATTCAGGAGTTGACATGAAGTCTTCTTATGATGGAAAAGTTGGTACCTTTTTCATAATGTTATTCTATGTTTTATGATTACAGGCTGCAAGAAGTGCAGGTGTTCCAGTGATTCTGGATGCTGGAGGAATGGATTCCCCAATTCCTGATGAACTTCTGAAGCATGTTGATATTTTGAGTCCAAATGAAAGCGAACTTGCTCGTTTAACAGGGATGCAAACCGAAAGCTTTAAACAGATCAGTCTGGCTGTAGCTAAATGTCACAAATTGGTGAGTTTATATATTTCACATTCTTCCTTTTGTTTCTTTTTCATTCTTATATTTATTTCTATGAGTTGTAAGATGAACATTGAGTTGCCTAAATCGAGTTGTTTTTCTTACTACCATTTGTGTCATAAATTACACATTTAGAGACAACCGAAACCATATTCATGAGTAGTTATTTTGCTATCAAATCTGTTTTCAGGGTGTTAAGGAAGTTCTTGTGAAACTTGGTGCAAGAGGATCCGTTTTATTCACCGAAGGAAACGAACCAATTAGACAAAGCATCATAGAGGCCGAAAAAGTTCTTGACACAACTGGTGCTGGTGATACATTCACTGCTGCTTATGCTGTTGCTCTTGTAGAAGGGAAATCCAAAGTAGAATGCTTGAGATTTGCGGGTGAGCGTGAGTTTGTTTCTTGATGGCGTTTTGTTCTATTTTTCATCTTCATTTTGCGGTTAATATGATTTCTTTTTGATGATTTGCAGCTGCAGCAGCCTCTCTTTGTGTCCAAGTGAAGGGAGCCATCCCAAGTATGCCTCGTAGGAATGCGGTCTTGGATCTTCTTCAATCTATATAGGAAAATAAAGCTATTTTAGGTTACCTTTGGACATAAATAAGGTATAATTCAGTCTCTTTTTGGCTAATTGACTTGTTTTAGAACTTAATTTTGAGGAGCTTTTGTTAAAATTCTTCAGTATGTATTGTGGAGATCATATTTTTATACTTCATGGAGGCACTTAAGTTATGATGTCTGATAGGAGTTCTTGAAGATGCAGGATTAGGATAGTAGACTAGGTGTATGGTCCTGTAGCTAGTGTAGATGGGAAATAAGGGAGTTAGAAAGGTTGAGGGTGGAACCAAGGTTCTAAATGGCTTGATCTGTGGCGTGGCGGCGACGTCAAGCCTCAATCCTTTCACGCCATGACAAGGACGCGGTGTTTTCCAATGCGTGATATAAGGCGGCAAATTTCTTATGTCACATGTATAATTACATATATGTTTTCTATTTATTTTTCAAGGAAATAATGATGTTAAAAAATTTGCATTCATATTAGAAAAGAACAATTATATATATTAGTATTGTATATAGAGTCTGTCATCAAATATTCAAAATAGAACTTGGAAGGGTTTTACAGTTTTGTTTTAACCGTGAGTCTGTAACATGTGTGAATCCATGAAACTGTGAATGATGTGATTAGCTAAAAAAAATTGAAATAAGTCGCGCCTTGTAAAAAACGCATGACGAGGCGTGCGATGGCGCTCCTCAAGACGCCATGGCATGAGCCACGGCTTACACGGACACTATAGGTCTTACCATAAAAGTGGAGATGTTTCTTACGCCATGGTGCACCTTTTAGAACCCTGAGTGGGACATAGGGAGGGTTAGGGAGCTGGTAGATGAGGTAAAACCGTAAGAGTCTTATGATAGGTAGAGGAACGTGTGATTTTTCTTAGTTTTTCTCTGTTTCAAGGTGTCTATTTCACAAATATGGCTTGAAGTGCTAGTTTCTTAGTTTCTCCACCATACCACATACCAACAGGTTCTAATTTCTATTTCATACCACTCTGATCTTCGTTTTTGGTGTTTCATCGATGATTAAAACACCATCGTCTTGCATAAATATAAACTAATCATCCTTTTTGTCATATGCTGTACCCAATTATCACACACTGTGACCTACATATCTGGACTTTCTTTTAAAGAAATAAAATAGTAAGAAAGTAGACTCTGTTGGGCCTTTTTTTCTCTCTTTAACTTTTTTCCATGTCCCCTTTTAAGAGCATTATTAATGTACTATATTACTTTCACTAGCGTCGATAATTCTCTCACAAACAGGCATCACAAACACCGATTTGATTACATCTTCAAGAAACGAAAATGGCTCTATGTTTCATATTTCTTCTCATGCTTCTACACACTCATTTATCTCTGCATTCGTCGTTATCCATACGAAAACTTGAAGGTTCAAAATCCATCTTTAATGGGATGTTTTCGTGTGTACAATATATGTGTAATTCCATTCACTAACAACTGAAGTTGGTTTATGACCAGATTCCGAGCTTGACAAATTCAGTGCCTTAAAACTGAACGATAAGGTAAGGTATCCTATTTTTCATAATTGCAGTCGTTTTCTTGATTCTTGATGCTAATTGTTCCTCTATGTATTCATTTTCTGGTTCGTTTTCTTGATTCTTGATGCTAATTGTTCCTCTATCTTTATGTTTTCTGGCTCGTTTCCTTTACAGTCGTTCATGGAAGATGGCAGCAGCCGGAGATTGGAGTTGCATGAAGTACATTCAGGACCAAATCCCATCAGTAATTCCTTCACAGAAGAGGTCCCTGATATAAACATACAAACTGCACCTTAACTTTCTGTTTCAACCCGTTTTTTTGCTTAGATCAATAATAAAAGAACGATTCTTTCGCTTTTTTTCTTTCAAAAGCTTCGATTTTTTTAGATAAATCGAGATGGGTGTTGCTTAGAATCTGCTAATTCTGGTTTTAAGCAAGTAATCACACAATCTTTGTCCTCGGTTAGCTGGACAAAGTGGCCCGAGTTGAGCCGAGCCACTTTCGTGGTTTCACCAGAGGTCTATATTTTTCCGATGACCATCATGACCAATTAGTCAATAGGGTTCATGCAAAACGTCTCTTTCATGTGTTGTCGACAAACAAACTAGGAAACAACATTTTTTTCTTTATTTCTACATCATACCTTTAAATCTGGTCAAAGAATCTTTGAAAGCAAATAGCTGGAATTGGTGCACTTTATATCCTGTGAATTCCCAAGTAAAGATCATGCAATAACGGTGGTTGTCATGTTTTCATGGCAGCAACTATTATAGCCGTTGGTGAAAAGTGTAGTCTTTGTCTAGAGATAGGCATGGACCAGTTAAGAATCGTCGGTCTAATGACGTAATGGTGTGGTTCGGGACAGGTTTGGTTTGGTTTGGTTTGGTTTGTCCATCTCTAAGCCCGACCGCTCTCACAACCGGAAATAGAGGGAGTCTGAAGTCTTCAATGTTTATGGCTCACCAATAAGAAAAAAAGGTATAGTGGTCTGTTTGTTGGTGGTTTGACGAGCTTAATAGGACTCAGTTAATTCGATCCGTGATATATGATTGTTTGGTAGTTGTTTGATGACATAGAAAGTGATTTTATTCACTAAACTTCTAAATGAACTTTATGCAGAGAGTCATGTTTTCTCTAAACCGTCTTTCACAATTAAAAAATATGTTTCTTCCATTTACGAAAACTCTCCAAACAAAAACATTTTCAATTTATTCAGACAGATTAATTTACACCTACAGCTTTATTCATACATAACTTAATGGAAAATTAACCAAACAGCCTTTAATATCATATGGTCAATGGTCTAATTTAACCAGGTTACAGATAAAGCCCAGCCTCCTAAGAGTTAAAAAGGTTCAAATCTCATTAAAAGTGAGAAGTGTACATGAGTACTATTGTATATAAATAGTATATACTTCATAAAATACAAAGTACATGTAATCAAATGTCTTTAATATGTTCCAAGTCTTGCACTTAATCTATCTATACTATCTTATTAAGCAAATTTAGCAAAAGTCTTAAAGTCTTAAAATACTAAATAACCAAGATACCCTTTATACTACCCTTACTTCACTTTTTTATTTTTTTTAACCCTCCTCTCCTCACATACATTCACCCTCTCGAACCGATTTTTTTAAAATTATAATTATAATTTTAAATTTATACTTTATACCTCTATAATTAGTTAATTAATTTACTTTACATCTTTTACTTTTAAATGTTTCATTTTAAACATTTATCAAATCAACATACATAATCGTATATCAATTAAAACATGTTTAAAAAATACATTTTTATTTT